CTGCGTGGTTATTTTTTGAATTTAGCCCGTTTTAAGGATTTTTTTCCCCACCAGTATTCTTATTTCTCAATGATAGGGTAAAATGTCGAGGCTTTATTTCACGTTTTGATGATTTTATTGAAATTTTTGATGATTCCCCATACATTTCCTTATAACAGGACACCACAGAAACCAAGCTTGGGCTACCTGTGACGCAACCAATTTATTAAAATGTCAAAGTAATTTACAGAGGAAAACAAAAGCGTTCTAGGCGTTCTATGTCCTCTATTCTATGTATGATAAATGACTTTCTATATTAATTCAAAAGACTCTGTAATGAAAGTTGATCAAAATAACTCACAACCATAACAAAAAGGCTATCAAAAACTCAACTTCCACCTACAACACTATAATTCCTCTTCAACCGTGAATTGTTTTATATAAAAAAAATTCAAAGCTTCTTTTTTCTTTTCGGACCAAAAAGTAAATTAAATACAAAAACTAAACCAGTGCAACCTATAGTATTATATGTGGTATACCGCTGATAGCTTCAAAAGCAGGCTCAAGTGTGAAACATTTGGTAGCCTTGTGTAAACATCATTTCCGCTGCGCTATTTTCGACACACGACGCTTACAAAATATATCATAGAACTATCTTCCCTCGTCTCTCGATCGAACAACAGACCACATCAAAATAAAGGTATTGTATTAAAGATAACTGTCGGTAAACCGATCAATAGATTGTAAGTTAGTGGAATTCACAAAGGTGTTGCGTACATAAATGATTTACACGCCTTATTTATTTTATTTACAATGTAAAAACACCCAAAATCGAGTCATTGAATATTGTAGCGATTCCAAATGGATTATGTAGATTTTCGCTACCTTTGATATTTTCCCATATATCGCTTCTTTCCACCACATAGAACCGAACTATTACATAGAACATTTTGTTATTATACATAATATGTATCATATATGATATGCAAACTCGTTGTTTCGTATCATAAAACTCATTCGCTCGGTCAAAGAATCGCCCTCGTTCGTTTTATATGACACTTCTGCTTCACAAAGCGCGCCCTTTCATTTAGTAACTTTCTCTCATTTATGTTTCATCACATCATCGAAAAAATATTCTTTACTTATCAAATGAATTTGATTTTTTTTTTTCCGTGAAATATTACTTCGATGTTTTCTTTTTTTTAATGAGAAATCGAGGTAAAAACGCTAGTATGTGCAAAGTATTCTTAATCTATTCTTCCCATATTAAATTAGGGAACATTCAGCATTTATCGGAGGGTGATGGAGGGAAAAGGGGGAGGGTGGTGATAAAATGGGTGACCTTGAAATTTTAGTGACCCTGAAAAAATGAGTCTTGAAATAATTGATGGTTTATATGAGAGAGAGCCTTCAAGATGTTGAAAATATACAGTGGATCCCGAAAAAAATTGGAGAAAAAATGCATTCTTGCTATTTTCTCCCCCATCCACCCATATCAGTAAGTAATATACGGTCTCGTATAATTAGGTCTACTGTACCAACATTTTGAATACGCGTGCCCAAATATAAACTGCGCACTGAAGAAGATCCGTGTTCACAGAAAAAAATGTAAAATTGTAAAATTGTCTTAATTTTTTTAAGTCAGAGACAAACATTTCAAGTACTCTTATAATTAGCTAGTTTGTTTGTTGTTTCTTTCAATCGTTTTCCTTCGTCCGTCCGTTCCTTTTTTTTTTTATTTCTTTCTTTCCTTCCTTCCTTTTATTCATCTATTTATCTTTTCGTTCACTCATTCAATATTGTACTTTTTACTTCCCTTTTCCTTCTTTTCATTAGTTCATCCTTTCTTACTTTTTTTTTTCTTGACAGAGCTTAAATTTATTTTATTCATTTTAATTTGGAGAATTTAATTTAAAAATTTGCTTCTGCAATGACGTACTGTCTCCGGCCGATTTGTTATCCATATCAAAATTAGTTCCGCTATATTTATTTCTAATTTGGCTTCCTGTCTTTTTAGGCAATGATTAATGGCAACCCCAATATCATGGCCTACGAAAGAAAGCACCAACTTCGTACGCTTGAGTAGACTGCTGATTGATGGCGGAACCCATGTGCTTAAAGATGTTTTCGACAAAATTCACCCACAAGCCTCACTGCACAGCGCACTACACTCACCAACCGTTCATGCCACCCTAAAGAACTTGAGAAGTAAAAGAGTCCTAACCACCCAACAATGGCAACATCTGTATCCTAGCGTGAGTTCGGCAAGTCATGTTACATCATCGGATTTTGACATTACGCTGTTGTATTTGCTCCTTCGAAACATTTGCAGTCTGGTTCCGCCATCCACAGGATGGGACAAACTCCCTATGCAATCTGACATTACCAGAGAAGCTGACCTAGTGCGCTTGAAATTTTACAGAAATAACATATTCGCGCATATCTTAGAAACTTCAATCGATGATAAAGATTTTGAGACTTTCTGGAGCGAGATTGGTAGCGTTCTTACAAGACTTGGTGGAAGCCAATATAAAAGCGAAGTTGAAAGGTTGAAAGTGGCTTCAATCGATGAGGAGGACGAAGCTTCGTATGTAAGGATATTAGAAGAATGGCAAGATTACGAGAGGTATTTGAAGACATACATTAAGGAAGCAGAAGATAGAGTGATGGAAAAACTAGACATTAAAGAGGACAATATTTCAAAGAAATTAGATGAAGCTGAGCAAAGAATAACAGACAAAATGGACGAAGTAAGAGAAGTCTTTGAACGAACTGTTCATTCTGATGGTCCACAGTCTCCTGGTAAGAATGGTTATTCGTTTCTACTTTTGGCAACGATTGCGTCTTTGTTGCCGCACCGTGAAAACACTCTTGCAACTTGAGTCGCAACGCTGTTGCAAGACAACTTGAAGGGAAAAAATGCTGTAATCGCGACTTAAGTGAATTTCCAATTCAATGAGTCACAAAGCAATTCCCATCCCACCCTCCCTAAAGACGGTACCTTTTGCTTAATGACGTAACCACATCTTCTGTTTTAGAGGAAAAAGCATCTGTCACACATTATAACATTACAGTAAAAGACAACGCACAGTGTGCAGTAGGAAACCATGCTTCGTCTGTAAGGTAGATCGGCCATGCTCCAGATCTTTACTTCTTAGGCTATTTTCTCTTCGCCTTTCTTTCCTTCTGTAACTTTTCTTTTCTTATTGTTCCTTCTCTTCCCTTTCTTCTCTTCTCTTCCTTTCTCCCGTCTTCCCGTCCTACACAAATCACTAATGCTAGTTGAAATTATATTGCAGTTATGCAAGGGTTAGTTCTCTGAGCTCTGATCCTGACTTGCAAAACAACTATGAGCTAAAAATAGGAGGTATGTGTTATACATTGCACATTCTTCATTCTACATTCTTCTTTACACTTCACTTTTATTTACCCCTGAAACAACTACTTTGCTGATCAAAGTCAGGGCACGGCTAACTCACAGATGGAACCCTAAAGCAGCCTCTGGGCTCTCCTCAAGTTTAGGGCACGCTAACTCACAGATGGAACTGGAATTTAGCGTGTAAGGATTTTGGATGGAGGAAACCCAGGAGAAATATTCTCGAATCCAATGCTCTGCTCACATGCATACGATACCGAGTACGAAAATCGAATCAAGGAACCCTAATGCTAAAGGCAAGAACACCCTGGTGCAAGTGGAAAAATTACGAATGCCTAACTTAGCTCTTATAATGTTCTTAATTTATTAGAAAAATCCTATAACTTGAAGACCACGACGAGATGGCACACTGAACTGCAACTAAAGCCTGTGGCCTTTCACATGCTGCCGAGCATCAAAACAGACGACATCTTCACCAGCCTCATCATACAGTACGGCAGAAAACCACTCAAACACGAAAAAGGTGGAGAATCCAGAAATGAACAGCTGGATTGGTACGGTAAAGCGTGTGGGATTCCTGTCCAAAGATGCCAAGATATTTTTACTGGAACTATCCCTGGCAAACTAAACCCTAAGACTATCCTTGTCATAGGAAAACCCGGGATAGGGAAGACCCTTTTTTGCCAAAAGTTGATTCGCGATTGGGCGCGCAACAGATTGTTCGACGAAGATTCAAAATTTGAAACCCCCGACTTCAAGTTTGCGTACTTGCTCACTTTTCGCCAGTTGAGTTTTCATGAAGATGACACTTTTAACTTGATGGAACTTTTAAACCGTTCTTCGCTATTGGAAGAATACTCTTTAGTCGACAATGTCCTGTTTGAATACATGTTGCATCATAAGGAGGAGCTCCTGGTCATTATGGATGGTTACGATGAATACTCAAAGCGGGATGAAATTGTCAATCAATCGGAGGAGAAGTACCCGAACGATCCTCGGAATAGGATGCCTGTTTCGGCAATGTGTTCGAAGTTGATCAAAGGGAAAATTATGAGAGAATCGGTGGTCTTGGTAACGTCGAGACCTGCCGAGGCGGACGAATTGGGACAAGTCAGTTTTGATGAATACGTAGAAATCACCGGCTTCTCCTCAAAACAAGTGAGAGAATACATCGAAAAGTATTTTCAAGCAGACGAAGCAGTAAAGAACATCATACAAGAGCATATTATGGGCAATGAAAACCTCGTCAGCTTTGCTCACATCCCAGTTCTGTGCTTCCTGATGTGTTGGTACATGGAATGGCAAATTCAATCTAACAGTCACTCCCGAACCTTACCAGTTACAGTTACTGATTTGTGCGTTGAAGTTATTCAAGTGTTTGTACAGAGGCATCATTCTGAGCTAAAGGGCCGTCATTTACGTCTAGAAGACAGAAGAAGAGCAAGTGCAGAGCTTCTGGGGTCTACACTTCTTCAAAAGTTCCAAAGAAGGCGTCATTCCAACATACAACAAAGCACCGAGGATGAAAGTGTGTCGCCATTCCAAGAAAAGGTTTTGGACAAAATTTCCAAGCTGGCTGCTAAATTGCTTATCGAGAAAAAGCTGTCTTTTAGCATCGAAGATATGGAGAGTTTTGGTCTAACACGAGAAGAAATCGAAAATCTCAAAGCTAGTGGCCTTCTTCAGTGTGGTCCTACCCTCAGAATTTCTCCCTTTGAAGTTGCACATAACTTCAGTTTTACTCATTTGATTCTGCATGAGTACCTAGCTGCACTTTGGTTTGTAAAGGAAAGAAGGATGCCGACCAAAGACATGGCGATCGGAATGGTATGCCAGTTCATGGCCGGAGCCCTGTCCTTGGAAAAGAATAGAAAGCTTCTAGAGAAGTTGGTCGATTGGATAAAAATTCATCCAAGCCTCAGAAAGGACCAAAAACTGCTTTTGACAGCAAAGTGCCTCTACGAATTCAAAGACAAAGAGTTTGCCAAGATAATTGTTGCAAATCAGTACCAGCGATACTGTGATGACGGCAACATTCTCTTTCTTAGTATCACCGATGTTGACTGTGTCTTGGTATCATTCTTGCTTGACATTTTCTCTTCCCTGAACGAAATTCAGGCGGGGAAAAACAAGAAGACACTACAAGCTTTACTTCGAAAAAAGCCCTCATCGACACTCAAGACATTGTACATTGGGATGTCGACGCTAACTTTGTCTGGTTTTCAACGAATTTGTAATTCGCTGAACAATGAGTTCTGCAGTGTTACAGAAATGGAAACTTTTGACTGTGGTTTGAGGGATGATTGTGCGCCCTGTTTAGGCGAACTGTTAGTGAAGAGCAATCTAGCCTACTTGTCTATGAATGAGAACAAACTGACTGACAAAACTGCTGCCATACTTTGCCATTCATTAAAAGACCAAAGATGTCAACTGACAAGACTCTACCTATCCTACAATGAGATAAGTGATGTGGGATCCGAGCTGCTTTGTAAAACACTCTTAGATCCATGCTGCAAATTGACCAGGCTGGTGATGTACAAAAACAATGTAACAGATGAATGTCAAAAGTCACTGAAGTCTCTGATAGAGAAACATAAACCTGGTTTTGACTTAAGGTTTTAAATTTGGAAAATTAGTCGAGTACAGTAGTAATTTGTACAAGCAGATAGTGGTTTGGTTGTAAAATAACGGTAGTTTTGCGAGATGAAAAAACACTTGTGGTCGATAAGTTAATAAATTAATAATAATAAGGATGATTATGATGTTGATGTTGATGGTGATGGTGATGGTGATGGTGATGGTGATGGTGATGGTGATGGTGATGGTGATGGTGATGGTGATGGTGATGGTGATGGTGATGGTGATGATGGTGGTGGTGGTATTACAAACTGTTCAGAAGAGTCCTATATCGATAGCACAAAACTCTTTATTTCCTGTGCAACCAATAATAAAGTTGGTGCTCTAAGTCAGATTGTCCAAGATCTCAACAGAGTATCATACTGGTACTAAACCAACTGTTAATCAATGCCTAAAAGACAAAGTTGATGCTGGCACAAGACATTTAGTACAATAAGCTATTGTTTAATTATAACATTTATTGTTCGGGAAACTGTTTCAAATCAACAAGCAGAGTCCTACACCATTTACAAAAAATGTTCTATTTCTCTTGAACTCTTTGGTATTCAGTAAACTATCTTACTGCTCAACAGTGTTGTCGGGAACAACGCCAACGGAACATTCGCAGGTTGCAGTAATTACAGAACTTTGCCGCTAGAACTAACTGGAAAAGAAAGTACGACCCTATCTCATGAGAGAACTTAGCTGGTTACATATAAAAGAAATGCTACATTTTAGAGAAGTCAATATTTTTTATAAATGTCTACATGGCCTTGCTCTAAATTCAGTATCTTGAGTCTACATTGGTCAATCGCTCTACCATCTTTTTTCACAATACCAGGAACGAGGACACTCATGATTAATGATGACACCAAAAAGAACAACAGCTCAGAGGTCCTTTTTGACCATGCTAAAACAATAATAATGATACCTATTAGAGCGCTCTTTTCCATATGCAAATGTTCAAAGGCGCTTTAAAATGAGTTGTGAACGAGAGGTGGTTAGTATGAGATGTAGGCAATGCATGAGGGTGGTCAATGCCAGGGTTTCTTTTACGTCGTCAGTGATTCTTTTACGATGAAGTGTGAAGAGACGGGACCGCCATTTAAAGTGGTCATCCGAGCCACTTAAAGGTCTAACCATTCGAATATATCATTACGAAGGCAGCACCTTCTCAGTTATTTTAAGACCCTGAGTGTTGGTGCACGACCTCCCGCACAACAGACCGTCGCTCTTACCAACTGAGCTAACCGGATGGATGATGTATAAGCTCATGGGACAAATAAAGCGATGAAACAAAAACTAGTACAAACATAAATAGGCTAAATGATTTTAAACGTTACGTACGCCCGAAGGAAATCGTGGGCCTGCTTATAATCTATTCTATTAGGATTATAGGATTATTAGGATATAATTAGGACTATTAAAATTTTGCAATTAGTTGTTCTTAGTTGTTTCTCCTTTTTCTACTTGATTGTAAATATAAGTATCGAAAATTCCTGTTGTTATACACTTTGTATTGTATGATGATAATATTAATGATGATGATGATAATAATAATAATAATATACATCGATGTCTGGTCAATGTGTGGTCGATGTGTGATGTGAGATCGATGAGAGGTCGATGTATTGTTGATGTAATCAAGGTGGATGTGAGAGCCCCCTCACTTTATCAGAGAAAACACATTAACAGATTATATCACTATTTTTAGTTTACGAAACGTATAGGGATATCGTAAAGTATGAAGACCTTGGCGCGACTTTGTTTGTTCTCAGACTCATTACTTATTCAACTAAATTGGACCATTGGCGAGTTTTTATTTTGCTCGCGTGGTAATACTTTCAAAACAAATTTTTGGCTATACACTTTGGACATTAAATTATGATTACGGCTGGAAATCAGTCGAGGGGTAAAGTTAAAGTAGAATATTTAGAATTGATTTGTTATAATTCTCGAGGTGTAACCACATTACAATGAAACAGTCGCCATCTTGGTTGATCTAACAACTTCGTTATCGTCAACCAACATGGCGGCTATGACGTAACCTGCACCTCAAGAATACCGTATGCAAAACAGGACTTAATACAGTGCTTCTTTCATCCAAACAAAACCCTTAAACTTCATACATTCACAACTCACAAAACAAAAATCTATTCCAATTATGTAGTTTATATGATAATGAAGATATTTAATGAAGCCAAAAAAGTAGTCCTCCTAAAATCCTTCCAAGTTAAAAAGAAATCAAACAGTTGGTTCACGTACTGGACATGTTTAAATTGATCGAGTACAATCTGTCCTGTATTCCACAGTGCTTTATTTCTAGGCCTTCAATATACGATTGCGAAGGAAATTTTCCATTATAACTTACTTTAGCTCTTAGGTTTTCCATTGCCTTGTATGTCACTCACTAAACGGCTAATTTTTGCTTGCTTTTCTTGTTTTTTGATCCTTACACAACTGGCTACCGGTCCACTTAAATGAACTGCTTCACTGACTGCATTAATATATATATATTTCGACACTCAAGCTTTAAAAAATTTGCGATTCAGTGCGTGGGAATATTTCCTTCACAGCGTACGAGTATTTTTTTCGAAGCTTTTCTTGTGTGTCAACTTTTTTATGTCATTGTCCTCCGTGTTCTGAATGCTTGATGAAGCGTGAGAATGTTATATAAAAACACCTAGGGCCTTTCCTAATCAATGAAGTTCAAAGCAGGATCGGTAAGAAGCGAGCACATGCATTCAACGTTGAATGGGGAGTTTGCATGTCTAGCGTGACATTTTTAACACTAATACAAAACCAAAAAATATATAATGACTCTAAAGAGCATATTAAAGAATCCTAGTCAACTCCCACGCATAGCGCGCCGGAATCAAAGCAATCGGCCAGTTTCTCTGCCAGGCAAAATGTACTCTAATTCAGGCTTTTAAACTAGAACCCAGTCCCTTGCCTGTTTACAAAATGGCTAATTTCATGCCGGCAGTCAGTGGGGAATGTAGATGTGTGTCAATGTCTCGATGGTCTCAACGACTTGAGAACTACATACAAGGACTTTGGGTTGCACTTAGTTTTGGTATTTGTGTGGGTGTCGAAGGAATTTCATAAATTTTCCCCGAAGTGGGTACACTCTCCCTAAGCGGTAGTCTCGTTGATCGACCCAAAGGATTGCAATTCTTCAAAACTCTCATTCTGTGGTTCATGATCAGTTTTGTTGTCTACTGTAGACTTTAGATCTCCACAAGTTTTCTGGGGTTGTCTTTCATCAACGGCAAAGCCTTTGTTATCCTGAGAATTGCAAGGACTTTGGGTCCTTTTTTGGTTTTTGTCGACAGAAGGTATTGGCTGAATTTCATAAGGATGCTCCGACACGGGTCGACTGTCCTTGGGTGTTAGTGTCGTTGGTCGAATCAATCGATTGTAACCCTTAGAACTATCATTCAGTTGTTCAGTTTTGTTGCCCAATACAGGCCCTAGAGTCTCACCAGTTGTTTCTTGATTTTGGTATTTGTGTTTAAAATTGTCGAAGTAAGATATCTGAATTGCATGAGTTTGCTCCAAACCAGGTCGATTGTCCTTGGGCGGTAGCTTAGTTGATGGATCCAATAGACTGTATTCCTTAGAACTCTTAGCGCCCACTTTGGGAACTGGAGGCTTAAGTGGTTCGTTTGCGGCGTCTTCTTCACTCCGTCGTTCATCTTCTTTTTCGATTGAAGGCTTTGGAACCTCACAATTAGTTCTCTGGGGTTGTATCTTATCGTCAGCTTGGTTATTCGTTTCGTCTGTTGATGTCGAAGAAATATTTTGTGTTTGATCTTGATTCTCGTTTATTTCTGGTAGGGATTGATTGAGGATTGGATTACTTCTTTCTATGTTGGTTTGTGGTTGACTATGAGATATCTCCTGTATATCATCAATTTTATGGTAGTCGTCAGAGTCTTCCAAAGCAATTCCAGTATCCTAAAACAGAAACAAATCAGATGCTCAAATAAATATATAATTACTTTTATTACAATTTTAAACTTGAATATAGAGTTTAGTCTCGATTATGAGGTATCCCAAAATTTGATATAGTGGAAGTAATACTATAAAAAAGGTTTTTTTTTCTTGTCCCGAATTTCGTCTTTTCTCATATCCCCAAGTCTAAAATCATGCTAAAACCCACATTACTCACCTCGGCTTCAGGGATTATGGTGAATATTTACCTCGCCGCTTGAGGCTCGATCTCCCCGATTGGCAAGCTAAAAGCTTGAGAGTGGTGATAACTAGTAGAGTACTATCGTGGACTGCGTCGGTGTTTCTGAATATAACAGCAAGAATTTGTGGATAAATTGGATCACCGTAAAAAGTTTTGTGAAACTGACGTTTCGGAYGTTAGTCCTTCGTCGGAGTCCACGATAGTACTCTACCAGTTATCACCACTTAGAAGCTTGAGAGTTTAATAAAGTTTATTATTATTATTATTTGATAAATAGTCCACCGATAATCACTTTGCCTTCGGCGAATATTCGTTAATCCATGGTGTGTGTTTTTTTTTGTTTTTTTGTTTTTTTCAGTGAAAGCTTCGCTAATTTTCGAATTTTGAAATTTTTTTTTTCAATTCAAGAGCAAGTGTCATTCTCTTAAGAATCATTTCTTTGCTTATATTACCAGTAATGCTCAGGGAATTACACATTAGTACGTAGTGCTAATTATTATTTTATTACCGAATTGAAGAAAGCAATACTAGAGAAAATGACACGTGATCTGAATATTAAAAGTGTAAACCGGCTACTTCATTCGCAAAACTTTCCAATCAATCTTTTTTTTTTTTTTTTTGCGATACCTGGTGATGGTCATCGTTATCGTTAGGAGCAGCAGGTAGAGGTCTTCTTTGCAAAGGAATTTCATCCTAAAACAGCAAGACGATAATCACAGGCCTTATTTAACATATTTCAATGACTCAGTTCTAACAGATTTTTTGACGATGAGTGATTATTCATGAAGTGATACCTAATACACTCCTTCTAAATGCTGTATACCAGCAAACATTGTACACGCAGAGTTCATAATTTCACCTTAAACGCTTCGGGAAATCGTATTTGTATGGAGGAGACAAAGAATCTTATTCCCAAAAGAATAAAACATTAATTAGTTTTTTTTTAATGGGAGTTATGATTTTCCAAGTCGGGCCAGGTGTCATTCCCTTCACCCCACCCCCCTTGACAATTGAAAATTCTTCATTCGAGTCTCACTTATCGATCCAATTTGTATTTGTCACAAACAGGGCAAAATTACTTGATGCTAATTGGCTCATTAAGAAAGGCTTTTTCCGTAATTCGGGGCCGAATTAATAGAAAATAAAACCTTGAAGTATTATTGTCCAAAGTTTGATAGAAGAGAGCACATGTAATGAAGAAATACGTTTGATCTCTGAATAGAATTTTTTTAAACCATAACTACATTCGATTTGATAGTTCACTGAGGATATTTGACAGATTGGTTTCTTAAAGACGGATTTTTTCGTTGAATTTTGCCCTACGGGTAATCGTATGGGGCCATGTAAAATAATTGAACTTATGTTTTCAGAGTTTTGAAATTGCACTCGTAAAATTAATCTTTAATTTTACTTCGTCCCCATACGATTACCTACACAAACTGGTCAACATTTCCATTTGTTGCAATACCTGATGATGATTATCGTTATCATTACTAACCAGGTTAGGATCATCATAATCGTGTCTGCTAAAATAATATGATAATAGATCATTAATAACATGGATAATGAATGAATAATAATGATGAAAAATGAAAGAGAGGAGAAGAAGAGAAGCATACATACTTCTTCGTTTTACTTGCAGCTGAAAAAAGAAAAAAATAAGTTTAACAATCACAGATGACTGATTCAACTCCTAACATATATCACGCTCAAAAGCCTTTCTACTGCGTAATGTTAAGAAAAATAAGAAGGATTACAGACTCTAAAGTCTAGACATGGACACCGTGTTTAGGTTTTGTCAAATTTCCAAGATGGCGTCCACTAAAACAGCCCCACAATGCACTGCAAAGCCAACTCGACCCAGGTTTTTCCTCAACCTGGCTAAAAGGGAAATCATATTAGTTACCTTTGGCGCGAAACAGCAGAACGAATAATATTATATTGATCATAACAGAGAGAGCAATAACTACTGTAAGAGCTGCTATGATGCCCTCTGTTGAGATTGTAGTCTGACTTTGTTTGTAACCTTGAACATCTGTGCCTGGAAATGGGTAAACTTGAATTAATGTATTAATTGATGAATGGACGAAGGAAGGAAGGATTAAAGGAAGGAACGAGTGGATGAGTGAGAAAATGAATAAACAAAATTAAATAATTAATGGAAAACAATTAAATGAACGGAAATCAATGCTCTAATTAACAGTAAAGATGAATTATATATTAACAATAAGGTCAATAATAACTTAAAGTCTAGACTAGGAATCAATTAACTGAAGTCAACGAATAAAAAATAATTATGTCATAATTAACTATAACTTTCTTTTGTTCAGTTAATAAGCACCAATTGTCTTACTATTCTCATGTGCAAATACAATTTTGAACGAGAAAGAAAATTCGCGAAGCATTTTGATAGTGGTAGTACCATTTAACAATATTCATTACTTTTTTTCAATTCAAAACCTACGTACCATCTGTTTTTTGTATACTCGTTGGATCAATCTGCAGGTTATTAACAAAACCCCCATTTCTGTCAACAGCAATTCTTAGTGGTAAAAGAGGATCTGACACCTCGGCAATGACATGCAATTGGAAGTACAGTACCACACTCCCAGGACTGTTTGGAGAGGAAATAGATTATACACTATATAGAGGATCCTGAATGAAGGGGTAAAATGGGAGCTGAGATTCGCATTTTTTGGGCTGGGAAAATGTGCTTTTATGCACTGGGAATGGGATTCAAAAACAAAAAAAAGATCAAAAACTGGGAATGGGATTGAGATTTGAGCAAAACATAAGCTGGGATTATGGGATTTGGTCAAAATAGGGGATTGGAAATGGGATTGGGACTCCTTCAGGACCCTCTATATGCTATGAAAAATAGATCATCTCAGTTTCAAAATCATTGTCGGATTCAAAACATAGTACATACAAACTGAGACCCGAAAGGTATTCTGGTATATGACAATTATCCTCTAATGTGTTCCTTTGAGATACACAGTCGATATGAAACATGTGTTAAAAGCATCCATGATCTCTGTCAGTGCAACAATTTTTGAATATTCCACTAGATGTATCACTACCATTTTGGCCTCAGCTTTTATGTTCTACGTTTTGAACCCCACAATGATTTGCAATTCAATGCATATGATACCACAATTTGACATTCAGACACTTTCTGATGTTAATATATAATAAAAATTGATATTCGAAATTCAAGGATATTATTGGTTAAAATTAATCACGTGGTTTTGCTATAACGCCTGAAAAGAGTGGATTAGATAGATTTTTTTTTTGCCCTGTAGACAGGGCATAATTTAGATGCTAATGTTATCCCAATAGTAATGATGAATACTAATAAGACTCACGTGAATCGTAGCACATTCCACTTTTGGACGTATGGAATATCGTTGTAGACGTCATACAGCTTGTAAGAAATCAATAAATTGATACAGTCAATGTCATTAACGTTGTCCACCGAAAAAAGACATTTACACATTTAGACATTTAGACATTTAGCCTAAAGTGAGCCTGAACTTTAAATGTAAAATTCAACTCGTGAATCGAAAATCCAGAATGCCCCGACTATTTAGTGAGAATTTAAGATGGAGAATTGTATTTCAGCGTTTATTTTATGACAGAACGTTCGGTGAAACATGTGATATTTCTTTTAGCCTAAATGTGTAAATGTGTAAATGTGTAGATGTCTTTTTTCGGTGGACAACGTTAATGACATTGACTGTATATAAATTATAAATCAAATAAATTAATAGATTAATGGACTTTGGTTCAGTGCATCAAGTGATATAACCGTTTAACTGGGCGAACATTTTGAGTGCGTTTTGGCGCCAAAGCTCCCGCTAAATCATAAATCCATTAGTGTAAGCCATTGAGGTGGCATGGTCGACATAAAGTTTTGAATACTCCTGTTTCGAATTTTCTGTTCTACAGGGTTAGCCTCGACTCCGTATGGAATTACTTTGAATATTCATGATTGTATTCCAGTGAAGGTCTGTGTAGTTTTCAAAGTGTTTGTATTGTTGAAGCTGTCCATTCTTTTATTAACCGTTGGCATTTTGTGAAAACCTAGACACATGGGACGAACCCTGTATAAACGAGTCTGTGATCAAAGAACACTACGGTATTTGAATAATTCGAAAACGGTCTATTCCACTGTCTAGGAATTTCACAGGTTTTAGTCGAGGCTCATACCATTTTCATGCACTTTCCTCTTAATTTCTTGTGAGCTTCGCTATTGACGTTGCTGAGATCTGAGATCCAGTCCTGGTCCACTAATTTCATGGAGCCACTGACAATTTTAGCAACACCTGAAAGAGTAATCACTTTTTAAAGCGATATAAGATGATTAATTTTGAAGTCAAAGTAAATAGTTGGTTTTGGAGATATTTGAGGACAAAATACAGGATTTCATTTCCAGAGGTGGTGGGTTGCGGGTAATAGACTCCTTGCATGTGACATCAATGCAGCTCAATTTGGAGGAAGCATAGAAGATTTTCAATCTCCTGAGAATTGGGAACCTATTGTTATGTCCTCCAAATTGAGCTGCATTCCGACGAGCTGCAAGGGGTCTATTTCACCCCTCCTCTGTAAATCATGCAGGTCCCATAAGTTGACAATTGAAAAGTACCTTGTTTGTAAATCAAAAATCCTGTTGTTCGAGAATCAACTTCATTTTCAGCCGTGCATTTTAGGCGTATGTTGCTGTCTATATTAGTTGTGTTTGCAGTCACAATAAATTGGGTCTTTGTCGATTCCTTCTTGTTTCGTTGAACGAAAATTAACTCTTCTTTTAATTGCGCTGATTGGCAAGTTAATGTTACATCAGGATAGGCATCAGTAAGGATCTCAAAGTTTACTAATGCTGTTGATTTGTTGAAGACATTGAAGTTGTTGCCTACGACCTGAAGCTTGCTAATATCTGAGAAAACAGCAAGCAAAATTTTGCAAAAGGTCCAAATAACTATGAAGCTAAGAATTGTTGCAAGTGGTCCACAAAATCTACATTATCATCATCATCATCAGTTATCTTCATCACGAATGACATCATCATCATCATTAGTTATCATCCCCATCACCATCATTACCGCGTTCACCATCATCATCATTACCGCCTTCAGCATCATGATAATCATCATTCTCATCATCATTATAATCATCAATATCACCATCATCATGCATTAACATCACCACCATCATCATCACCACCATCATCATCACCACCATCATCAGTCATCATTATCATCAGTAATCAACTTCATAATCAGTCATAACCAGTATCACTCATCATCTGATCACTTTTATCACCATCATCATGGCTCCAAACTAAAACTTGCAACTCTAAAAAATAATGGAAATAATTGCATATTTGAGAAAACGTCTTTCATACTTACAGTTAACTACCAGGTGAAACGTTTTGCTTACTGCAGTATTGCACTCTTTTCCATTATAGACAGACACTCTGTAAATACCATGGTCGTTTCTGTGTATAGAATGTAAAGTGAGGTTCCATTGATTCCAATGCACATTTGCTTGACTTTCTTTTGTCCAAGTCACATTAAGTGGTCGAGTTCCCGAGAATTCACAGTTGATGTTCACTTTCGTACCTTCGTTGACTGTTACGTTGGTTTGGTCGAAGTTGTTCACCTTGCAGGTAGAGATGGACGGGGGTTCTGAGAAAAAACGCGAGAGAGAAAAAAAACATGCATCATGTATATAATCCAAACCTATCGAACAAGAACCGTGGTCAGGGTTCGAAACGTTTATATGTAAGTATTCAAAATGTCAGAGAAAACTAGTGAAAAATTCAAATCCACACTTTGGCTCATCTTTACATCTATTTCATTACATCAATCTTTCCCATCCACCCACCCATCCATCCATCCATCCATCCATCCATCCA